CAACAAACAAGTGATGAGGAGGTTGCTCCAAACAGACCTATACTGTGAAACCCCAGGCCAAAACCAGCCAGTTCAGTGTCTAGAGGTTTTACCCTTTGGTTCTCAAGAAAAACATGACAGACTAATCATGAAGGAGATCAAGGTCTTCTGTTTTCCTACGAACCTTGTACACTGCCATGGTCTGCACTATTAATATATATAAAAACTGGTTTTAGTTTGTTCCAACATAAGGTTTTTAGATATTCCATCTTCTGTATTTGCTTGCTAAAAACAGAAGTGGTGGGCATCTTCACTTGGCCCTTAGTAAGGAGAGGAATTAAAAAAAAAAAAAAAAAGTAAATGCACAGATTATATTTTCTGCTCCCATCCATTGTCCTTCTGCACTATGGAACGATGTACACACCATGCCATTTGTGCCTGCAGTTGTAGCAGGTGCCCTACACAGTGCCTCAAATGCCTAACTGGAATGACACAACATGCAGGCGCTGTGATGTACCCAGTCACCCAGCCAATATTTATCCTGTATTTGACTTCATTTAGTGGAATATTCTTTGAAGTCTGTGTATCATCACTACTCTGTATATGCAGGACTGCAGTGTGTGAATATGTAAAAGGATGCCTATGACAAGTACGTGGAAGCTCTTATCCTCTAACTCTGCAGGAGTAGATCTTGTTTTAAGCCACTTTTTTAGATGGAAAGACCCCCAAAAAACAAATATACTTTTTGTCCATTTTCAGCACAGCTGGTTTTATAAGGAAATAAAAGTACAAAAATGTATACATATAGTAAGTTTGAATGAGTAGCTCCTACATCTACATAAAGAAGCCATGTCACACTGTAGTAACAGATATTCATGTGAAACAGGTGGTGGTAAGGAAATTATATCCATGATGGGGATGCTGGGGAATTACATTTCAGAAGTGTACACTTAATATGAACTAAAATCCATTATATTCATCAACTGCTTTCACCAGGTCACACAGATCTTAATTCTTACCTGCTTGCGATAGACGTAACAGGCTGCTATTGCAACCATGGTGGATTCTCCTATAAAACCAGCTAGAAGGGATCCTACTCCAAGAGTGGCTCCATGAACTCTGCAGGTAGCATTAAAAAAAAGTAGTCATGGTTGTGTGAGAATGCATGATTCATAATTATATTTTCACTGGCATATAGAACCAATCTGTTGCTAGAATTATTTCCTTCAAAGACATAAAATATTGGCAAAGAGAAGAACTGGTATTTTAAAGGACTTTTTTGTTTCTTAATGACTTCACTATTTAGTAAAAGAGCCACATTCTGAATCAAATTATGGACTAAGAATTCAAAGTCCTGTACAGAGTGCTGTAGAATACATTATTCAACACAAACAAGATATTCCATTAGCTGTCTTAACAGTGCATTTAATAACATGAAAATAAATTTCCCTGAGGACACATTTTTGCCTGTTTAACATTTGCATATCTTTTCAAAAGGGACATCACTATCATGCCTGCCTAGAGCAGTCACGAGTAAATTTGTAAATGTTTCTTTTCTAGATACTGACACTACTTAGGCTTTACATTATGGTTAGTATTTGAGGAAAATGTTCTGAGATATGCAAAGTCAGCTATCAAGTGACAGTGAGGAGGAATGAAGAGGAAAACAAAGTTATCAACTCTGTGGAGAATAATGATTTACCCTAAATAAGGCAGCACAATGAGACTAGTGATGAGGACGATAATCCGCAGCACTGAGCTGGGTGCCAACACAAACGTCTTCTTCAGAGTCATCAGCCAACCAGTCAAGTGTGCTCTGACAGTCACTGTTGATAAACAGGGGAAGGGGATGGGGAGAAAGGGGGGACAAGAGTAATTTAAAAAAAAAGTTACGTCACATGAAGCTTTTTCATTCAGAGAGCACTGTTCAAAGTAAACATGGTGAAACTTGTTTCTGGTAACTTTTTTCTGGTAACTTTGCACACTGGCAACTTTGCACCCTACTAGGAACAAACTAGATCTTGTATCCAACCTGCTTTAATATACTGACTTTTGAAAGCCAGTTATGATCAGCAATCCTTCCTAAGAGCTGCTCTCTGAAAACCAATTTATTAGCTGGTCTATTCTCTTTACTTCATTAGAAAAAACTACCCCTTTCCCTAAAGAGAAATCATACCAAGAAATATTTTACATTTAGCTCCTGTGTGGTGCATGGTGTAACAGCTAGGCACAAAAAAAGATATCTGTATGAACCTATTCTTGTATTTGTAGTATACCTCTAGTACAAAACTATCTTGTCTTATAAGCAGAAAACATTACATGATGAAGCACTTCATTACAGAAGTTAGAAATTTTTTGAGGGGAAACATTTTTATTATTGCTGCCAAGCTTCTCTCTTGAATAGACTCATTAACTCTCATTAACTTTTATTCTATATTGTTTATGCTCTGATGATATCTGAAAGAGCCACAGAGTCTGGCAGCAGAAGGGGAGACTAATGGGGATGATGTTACTGTGGAGGTGGTCCTAGATGCTTTTTGAAATAGTTAATTTCAGTCTTGGCACACATGTATCGCTACTGCCATCCATGTATGTATTCTTGGTCAGCTACAATAGACAGAATTCAGGCTTTACTTTTGACAGTCAGAAATCTGCCTAATGACAGACTGCTCTTGCTGCAACATTTGTATCTTGATTACTCATGTAAATAGTCTTGGTTTACACCAGCTTCAATAAAAATGGTGTTACTTATGCTAGGCATGCATTTAGCCATGCTTGTATGTACAGCCAGGCCAGACTCTATGACCACACCTCACAGTTGGTTTGGTTTTCACGTTATAGAGTTTTTATTTTTGGTTTTTACCTGGAAGTGGAAAGAAGGAGAAGATGCGCAAAGGAACAACACACAACTCTGCAAAGGCGTAATCTACTCCAATTATGTCAACTAAAATCTTCTCTGACACGTTTGGTGTCCAAAACATCACAAAACAGAGCTAGAAAGAACCAAATAAAGAAATGTTTAAATTTCAGAAGGAAAGCACAACAAAAGATAGGTCCTCCTGGTCTAAAACATATGTTTACTGATGGGTAGATTACTGATGACACATGCATATAGTATGTTTACACTTAGCTTGCATTCAAATACACAGAGTACACAAGTGTACATAAGAGGGGCAGGTTTACTCTAGAAACAACTCCCACTCTTCATGATAGTCACATCCAAAGACTGATGCATGTAGAAAGAATTTTTATGGTGCCTGCAGATGGTTTTACTTGTCTAAAGGTCTAATTGTGACAAAACCAGTAATAAACTAGATTTTTACAGCACTTGTTCTAAATAGATTATCAAATGTTTTAGTAACTAAAGATTTGAAGTTCTCCAAGACTCAGAGATCTGACCTAAATCTAAGACTTGGAGTTTAAATGTGCTGTGGATACTAGTGCTGTTGGTGTGTAATATGGCTGATAGCAAGGCAAAGATGTACACTGTTGTCCTGCAGACATGGTGCCCTCAGGCCACAAATCCACTAAGTCTTGTTATTTTCAGTAGGGTGTGATGTTTTGTCCATACATGAAAGAAAATCAGCCTTAAAAAAACCCACAGCAAATGGCATAGCAGTAATACATGTTTAATTTTTGGTCAATACTATGGTCAATACTACAATCCGAGCTGAGGGGGCTGCTGGCAGCTGGCAGGTCCAGCTTGAGTTCAAGACACACACTGAAGAACAATGCTGACAGCTCTTACAGGACTGTTCCTCTAAGGAGGGGCACCTGACATCCTTTCAAGTATAACTATTTTGTTATTTAACTTCATTCTGTGATTTTAACAAGTTATTTCTTCCTGTTATTTTCACAGTAAAGCATGATGTTCAGGAAGTGAGCAGACTGAACCAAGGTAAAATCTGAGATCTTAAATGCTCTGGCACTCCTCTTGTCATGTTACAAACCAGCATACCAGGTAAATTATGCATACTGGCCGTACAATCTGATGGCTCTGACAGACTCTATAACCACTCTCTTATAATTTAGCCTACAAGCTAGTATCAAAGTATCTAGCTCTTTTTATCCAGTAGTCACACCCCTACTTTCACCCTCATTCTTTGGTTGTGTGCCAGAGATTGTCCTTTCTGTTTAACCTGAGCACCCAGACTGCACAAGCTTCCCAAAGTCTATAACCAAGTGGCCCGTGGGAGGTCTTGTGTTCTGACCGCCTCTGTGGTGAACAAAACATTCCACCTTCCTGCTAAAATGTTCATCTTCAGTTTTCTTCTCCACCTCTTAGGGTAGGAACCACTATTTATTTTTCACAAATGTTTTACTTGACTAACTTGATGTCTTGCAGTGTATCTCCATCACCTATACAAAGAATAGTAAGTGGGAAAAGGTAAGAGCAGAAGAAGAATTCACTGAGCATGGATTTTTTTCTGCTTTAGCCAGCAGTTCTCTCTCCCTGCCAAACTACTTTTACAGGGTACAACTGAAGCAGAGAGGACAATCCAGAGCAGAGAAGGGTGTGGGGTTGAGAATCCACTTATTAAAAAGTAGCTGTACACTGATGGAGCAAATTCTTTCATTGTTCCAGGCAGCACTAGGCAGACTGCAGTGATTTGTACTCTCACTGCAAATGATTTGTAAAGCAACTATACAGGGCATATTTAGTAAAATCTTTCTTCAAAGTCCAGTAAACAAACTGAGATCCACTCTTCAATTCTAATTTGCTGTTTTCATGAAAGCAAAGGCCTTTATGCTGCTTGTGCTGTGCAATGCTATTGGCATCCTACTGTACAGCATAGTTCCTGCTACTGCAAGATTTCATACATTCATGTTAACAGCAGAGTCTGCCCACTGCTAGCAAAAAGAGCAGTCTTCAACTGCTTCAACTCCAATGAAGAACATTCTAACATGGTTAGACAGGCAAGCAAATAAGTGACCAAAAGCATTGCTCTCAATCCTGTTCTCTTTGAAGTTAGAGTTTTCTTCTTAATAAGAACAGAGTCAATCTCCATCCAGCTCCTACAGGAAGAAGGTCAGTTTGCAAACCAGGGGTATAATGACTTATACCCAGGTGGTATGCAGTCCTTCCTCCTCAGCTGTTGCAAACTGTAGTCTTCCACATCCCCCAGTCAGCAGAGTCAGTGCTGATAAATGGCTTCAAAGAGCACTTCTTATATAGCAGCTGGTGGGTAAAGTTTGAAGAGGTGACGCATGGCAGCAAAAGGATATTCTATTTCTGTCTCAGCACATCTCCATCTTTTTAGTTGCAATATGATAACAAATTTCATTTTGTAAAGAGATTCTTTGTCACCTAATGAGCAGGTGATATTCTCATTTCCAGAGAACAAAGCCTCAGGAAAAGTAATCAATGCTTTGCATAATGAAAGCCCTCTGCCATTCAACTTCTAGGGCACTTGCAACTTGGGAGGTTTCCATGTTATTTCAAAGACAAACTCAAAATGTAGTGGGAAAAATACTAGGCTCTACTTTAGGAAAACTGTAACACTAAACGTGCAAAGGATGGAAGATATTTTGGCCACTGACTTTATTAGAGATGAGGTACGCTGGAAATGGGATGAAGTCTTAGCTTTTTTTGTGATGCTGAGTGGTCTGTATGATGTTTGTGATTATCCTGGTGAAGGGTGAAGGCCAATCAGAAAGGAGAATGGAGAAGATGTTAATGTTAAATGATGACAGTAGCCCAGTAACATAGGAAGTGTGGCACACATCATGAGAGATGGGATCTACTGGAGTAAGTGGTGCAGACTTCCTGCAGTTCAGATCAGGAAAGATTTTAGGAAATACATTTACCTATAGCATGTCTCCTATCCCTCTTTTAGTTAAACATTTTTTGTTTCCCCCTTACATCTTTCTGTATGTCTGCAAGGTTAAAAATAGAATAAATAGGCTTGGACAGGGTTCCTTTTATACCTTCCACTTAATCTAATCAAGAGGTGATGATAAAACAGTAAAACTTCTGCACAGGCTAGAAACACGCATGCGTAATGGCACTGCAGCTTCAGGTTGCATTTGAACTTGGCCGCAATGGCTTTATACAGTAATGAATATTGTACTTGTCAACTCTGCTGAGGCTGAAGCATTATAATGCTTTCAGAGTAAGGGCTTTGCTTGTGGAATTTCAGCAATGGATCTGATTTGATTTTCTGTTATCTTACAGTATGAGTGCAGCATAGTATTAAAGGCTAGTTTTGTTAAAGCCTTTGATCGCTTGACCAGAACTTCAACTGAACAGTGATGACTGCTTTAAAAATACAGGAATATCTAATGAAGATATAAACAGAAGAGTGGAACATATGCAGACAACACGCAGGCTTGAGTAAAGATAGCAATATTTATTATGGTGGTGTTATCTCTGTATGAACAACAGTAGCCTAAGCATTTCTGGAAGTGTTTTAATAATTTGAGCTGATCTGAAGAGTTGTGCTATTGAGTAATGTGCTTTTAAGTGATCTACAGAACTGAAATTTGAAAGACATTGCTAAATAAGTAAATAATTTACAGCATCATAAGCCATTCAGCACAGCTGTACTAGATCAGATCAAAGCCCCAGTTAGACTAGTCCTGTCTCCCTGCTAAAGGTCACTCAGGGTTGCCTAAGGAAAGAGCACAAAGAGCAGGGCACGTGCAGATTAAGAGATACCCTTCCCCAGCTGCACGGTTTGAGCTGCTGGCAGTTTTGGCTTCAGGAGTTCACAAACTATGCTGCATCTTCATCCCATGCAGCACTATGTTATGCATACAATGTATGTAACGTTAGTGATTTTTTTTCCAATCCAGTTATGCATTTAAAAAAAAGGGCAACAAAGATGACTGGGGGACTGGAGCACCTCCCTTGTGAGGAAAGGCTAAGAGAGCTGGGACTCTTTAGCCTGGAAAAGAGGGCAGACCTTATTAATGCCTGTAAGTATCTAAAAGGTGGGTACAAGAAGGATGGAGCCAGACTCTTTTCAGTAGTTCCTAGTGACAGGACAAGGGGCAACAGGCACAAGCTGTAAAACAGCAAGTTCCATCTAAACATAAGGAAAAACTTCTTTACAGTGAGGGTGACAAAGCACTGGAACAGGCTGCCCAGGTAGGTTGTGGAGTCCCCTTCTCTGGAGATATTCAAGACCTGCCTGGATGCAGTCCTGAGTAATGTGCTCTAGGTGATCCTTCTCTAGCAGGGGAGTTGGACTGGATGATCTCTAGAGGTCTCTCTGACAATTCTGTGATTCTGTGATTACAAGAAAAACCCTCTCACTTGTGGCTTCAGACACTTTCCATAAGTAGGTGCATTTAATTTCATGTGGAACCTTGCAATTCTCAGCTAGCAAATTCAGTGTCTAGGCAAATTAAAAGGTGACACATCAAAAACTTCCGCTGTTGAGAAGCCTGAGAGAATGCACTAAATCTTTGTTGCCGTGGGTAAAGTATCAAGCTTCTAGCGCTCAGTTTAACTTCTCTTTTATCTCTTTACTTAAGTACACACCAAGCATTTCACTTTCACAAATGATTGTGAGGAGAGACTGAGATTTTGTTTCAGATGTCATATATGTGAGTTTCAATACTGGTAGTTCTTGAAAACTAACTACTTCTTTTCATAGGCCCTGAATCTCCTGGAAGCCACTTACATTTATTCTGGTTGCTGACAGGGATTACTAAACCTCAGAGACCCATTACATAATGCATTCTAACACATTATAGTAACAAAGGCTATTGTCATGTGTATACTAATCTGCAGGGTGCCAGACTAATGTGCTTTTTGGCATTTGTCGAAAGCTGCCTATTTTGTGGGATGTTCATTGATAAATGTAAGGCACAAAAGAGTATTCCTGAAAGCTATGAACAATAGTGTAGCATTTCTAGACTTCAGTGCAGTTTCCAGTTAGAAGAAACACTGTTTGATGACAAAGACACTACATGGCTCTATGTTCTTCAGAAAGAAGCTATGGGATTCAAAATGGATGTTTTTAAAAAATAGGTTAGACATGTACCA